TTGTATCTGTATGATATTGATTCTATATTAAAATTGTGATATTTAAAAGTAATTATTTATATTATAACAAAAAGATATCACTAGTGTGATATTAGAAAAATATGTGTTTCTTTATATCTGTATGATATCGATGGTATATTAAAATTGAGATATTTGAAAGTATTTATTGATATTATAACTAAAAGATAACCGCTATATAACCGACTGTCCACTGGGTTTTCCCATAATATTGTTTACACAGTCGTCGTGTGCTGAATGCCGACTGCCGACTATACACGGCCCCCTCCAACCTTCCTCATCATAAAGGAAATAGTCATTTAGAATACTTGTATACTACGTTCTACTTACGCCGCCATTTGTTTTTAACTTTTGCATTTTTTCGTGCGTTGTTTACGTGTGTGCGCTTTTCACCGATTCATCTACGTAACGGCCGTAACGCACTCGCGAAGTGTTTTATTGTGTATAATATTTTTTCGGTTTAGTGCGTGCGTACATTTTCGTTGTAGGTACGCTTTATTCCAGTACGCCATCCTATACCAGATTACGTAAACTGAGAAACTGAGTATAAAATTGCCACTACATCCGCCACTACACTAATACTTGTAAGTTAGCCTAACCTAACGTCCGTTCAGTACATGTACAAGTACCTTTAAAAATATAATTTTGCTACCTATAGGTAGGTACGCCAACAATATACTACCTACTGCAAACTGTGGAAATTGTGGAAATCGCCACTACAGTAATACTTTTAAGTTATCCCAACCTCAGTATTTGTAAGTATAGAACTATTTTTTTTTAATTGTGTAAATTAGTTATTATTATTTAATAAATATTTAAAAAAAATTTTAATAGTACTTTGTAGATGACTCATTATTTATAATAAAGACTTAATTTTGATATATTTTGTCTATAGCAAGTACTTCAGCTGATTACGATTCTGACAAGGATAAGGAATATATACCAAAAAACAAAAGTAACAACATGACTTATGACAATAATTCTGATGAGGAGATAATAATTGCTAAGAGTACTGAAAATAACGATTCAAATATTGTTGAAAACCATATTAATAAAGGTATGTTTATGTTTCATCTAAGTATCATTATATTTATATTTGTGTTCACCTTTATGTACATATATTTTTTTTTTTTTTGGTTCAAATTATAAATTATCATTCCTGTCTATTTTCAGTTGACTATCTTAATACAAACAAAGCATTTCCATTGATTTCTTTTCCATCTGCTTCAGTTGATAATAGTAAGTATCATACACTATGATTAATTTTAATAGAATTCTGTAAGTGTTTGAGTTTGTATACTTTATTTATTTTTACATGCCTAGATATCAACAAAGAATTGTCTTATATTTCAAAAAATATGGCTCTTCCATCTACTTCAGTTGATAATAGTAAGTATTAATTCACATTAAATTCAAAAAAATTGTGTTATTATGTAAAATTATTTAATTCTATATTATTAACTTTGTATATATTTTTCAGCTGTACTGAAAAATATTCTGAACTATCTGGCATACTTAAAAGTTGAAGTCACCAAAATTTCTGACACTCAACAAGAAATAATTCAGGCGATTAACAATTCAAACTCAGCTAATTTCAGTATTTTAAATTCATGCGAGATTGATTATTTTGTAACTGCTTGGCCAGTACCGAACCATGAAGAATTAAATAATTTAGAAACAAAACTACAAGCTAATGAACACGATTTTAAAAACCAAGTTGTAAGATCAATTATTCTAGATCGATGGATTCTTTTATCGGAGAATATTATAAATATAATTAATTAATTTTGTGATTTAATTTAGATGCTCGAGTTAGTAAGAACAGGAGGAAAATCGGCTAAACAAATGATACA